GATATTCTTTTTAAGATGGCCTAAACACTTTTTGGAATAGGGTAGGACATGAATAGCTCACACCAGAATAGTAGTTTTTTTTTCAATTCTAAAATACTTTAATAATTAATATTGGTATGAAGACTGATATACAATGTAATTATTTACTTTACAAGGACATTCTGTACATAAGGGAGCTATCTTAAAGTACAATACACCAGGTTTTTACTTCTTCTTTACGTTGTATTTGTTAATTGGTTAATTACAGGAAAAGAGAACACAAAATAGATTTTATTAAAATAAAAACACCTAGAAAGACTTGACCCCCTCAAAGTATCGTACTTCAAAAGAACATGAATGAGATGAAAGATGAACAGGATCCCTTGGTGGCACATAGAAGGCAGGCAAATCCTATTTCAAGCTTGGCACAATATGGAAAAGAAAGGCAGTTTCTAGAAGAAGCGTTTCCAAATGTCATCTCAAGTCACAAAGGCGCTGGCATAAGCCAGTTATTTTCCAAACTAATAAGAAAGAATGGTCAGAAGGAAGCAAATTAGCAGGTAATGTGTGGCCACCTTATATATAGACCAGTAACAGACGTCAGCAGACTCTTCACTTATCTTCCTTAGGTTATCCCAGATATTAGTGAGCACCAACAAGATGTGGATCCAATCTATCTCCATAGTCATAAAACATCTGACAGAATCGAGAAATCCAGAGATCATCTTTTTACCATACAGAGAAGAGACACTGCTTTTTAAGGTCATTTTAGCTTTTTCTGTTTTGATCTGATATTGTGATTCTTCAGCAAATCTTAAACTGATAAGAAAGGAGAAAAAGAAAAATCTAGTACAGGAATTCAAAGAGAACAAAAGACAAGGACCACAGAAAAAATCTGAAGAAACCTATGAAACAGTCACAATCTCCTGAACAGTAAAGTGAAGAAAAACCACATTCATCAATTAAATAGAAACTCCCCCCCTCCACTTAGTATGGACAGGAATTAGAGGGAAATAGTCAGTTTTCAATAAAAACAGTGGTCTTCAATAAAAATCAAACAAAGCAAATGAATCCTGTGTTTCATGAAATAGTATATTACAAATACAAAAAGGGGTGGGGGTTGAGCCAATGTCCAGGCACCAACGATGGCTACAGCTGGGAAGAGGAGGGACTAGTAAGGTGGAAACTGCCAGAGAGTCAGCAGGAGAAGCAGTGTGGAGCTAAGAGGGAGTGTGGCAGGAGAAGGCAAACGGCACAGAGAAGAGAGGAGCAGCGGGTCATGATTGAGCCACTCCTGTGGCTTCTTCAAAGACTGTTTCCTATTCAGCACCCCACATCCCTTACATTCTTTCTGTGATGCCAGCTGGAGGTGTGGGGGCCGACAATACATGAGTGTTCCTACAGAGTTGCTACAACTCTGCTTTATAGAGGAGGACACAGCTATTGGTCAGAAGTGATTCAGATTATCATTTGGTACAAATAAAGTACAACATCCTATAAAATTTAAATCACAAGTCAGTTTTCTGCCAAGCTGGCATTACTATGAAGGCATTTTTAGTTTCAGAAAATATATACACTTTCTCATTTTACAAACTTAGAATCTGGTTGCAGTTCAGATTCTTTGACAGACAGAAAGTACATAAGTCTCCATTACTTCTTCATGATAAAATTTTTTTTGTAAAAAATTAGGGTAACCTATACCAAAAAGGGGGAACAGGTTGGATCCTGAGCTTCCTCTTAGGCTTGAATGCCAAAAGAGGAGTATATTGCTGTGGTATAAGAGGTATCCACCCACTGCCACTGAGTAGAATTCTCATAGCAACCCTATAAGACAGAGTAGAACTGCTTACAGGGTTTGTAAGGCTTTGCAGAAGGAGACTGCCACATTGTTCTCCTGAAAAGCAGCTGGTGGGTTTGAACCGTTGACCTTTCGGTTAGCAGCCCTGCACTTAACCACTATGCCACCAGGGCTTCTGGTAAGAGATACAGTGCAATGCTTTTCAACCAATAGGCCAATGTGGTATGAAAGCTTCCTGTGGAGGTGGGGGCCTCCAGTAGGGTTTTTCCCCTCTACCAAATGGAACTGATGGCTGGAACTTAGCACCTACATAAGTGGGTCTCACAACGAGGACAGGGCAAGTAAGGCTAATGGTGCAAATTGCCTTGACACAGGCAGTCATCTTGGAACCTGCAGGTGGCCCAGAACTTTGGTGGATGGTGAAGGAAGACCCCTTGAGTATGCTGCAATAGGAAAAGATTCAAAATCACTGACAAAGTGTTCAGTGGTGCCCCAGGGGCAGCACATGAGAATCCGTTCCAGTGAACTGCTATATCCATAGAAGTGCTGTTCACCCCAGAACTACACCCCAGAGGGCCCAGTTCTGGCTGGGCTAGGAAGCAGTGAAGTTCCCTCTATGTCTCTCTGGAGGATGAAATAGCAAAGCAGCCAGTTTTGGGGGTGGTCCTTTAGTTCTTCTTTCAAATTTCAGCATCATGGACGATGGTAGCTAAAACAGATGATCAAAAATGAGGCAAGTTACCAGATACTGTGTACTGCTTTGCTATTATTAAATCAGTATCAGTAGCAATGAAATATTATATCACAATTAAAAAAATTCCTCTCCTCTGCTCTAACTGTACCTGACTTTTCTGTGTCACTTAATCCTCCTAATCCCCCTCTTTCCATCCTTCTTGAAACTCTCTTGGCTTCCAAGACATTATTTTTCCCTTTTTCTTCCTCTTAAGTTGCTTTTTGTCTACAGGTTTTCCTGTTTTTTTTTTTTTTTTTTAACCTCTGTCTATCCTTTAAATAAACAACATTCCGCCCCCCACTAAAGATCCACTGTTTTTGCCTAAATTTGTATTTTAAAGCCTTGCTTCTCCTCTGAACTGTGTGCTGAATATCCAGCTATCTTCTAGGCATCTCTACCTCAGAGTGTTATAAGCTCTTCAAACTCAAATACGTATTTTTCAATTTATTTACTGTCTGCTTTCCTCTTTTGGAGTAAAACTTTACCTTCATCTCTGCTGTACCCCAAGCACCTAGAGCACTGTACCTAAAACTCAACACCGTCAAGTCGGCCCTGACTCATAACGACCCCTCCTTGGGTTTCCAAGGCAGTATCACTACAGAAGTAGATTGCCCAACCTTCCTTCCGAGGAGTGACTGGTGGGTTTGAACTGCCAGCCCTCTGGTTAGCAGTCAAGTGCCTTAGGCACTACGGTACCTGATAGTAGGTGCTAAGTAAATAATTATTGAATAAATGTCCTAAACTGTAAGCCTGAACTATATACCTCCTTCGTAGGCCTCAAAAATTGCAAGTTATAAATTTAGGAGTTGTCTTGACTACTTCCTCTATTTCACCACTCTAATTCAACAGAGGAGTCCCTGGGTGGCACCAATGATTGATGTGGTGACTATCTGAAAGGGTGGTTCGATTCCACCCAGAGGCACCTCTGAAGAAAGGCCTGGGGATCTACTTCCAAAGGTCACAGCCATTGACAACTCTGTGTGCAGCTCTACTCTGACACACAGGGGGTCACCATGAGCCAGAATGGACTGGATGGCAACTCTGTTGTTGTTGCTGTTGTTATGTGCCATTGAGTTGGCTCCGACTCATAGCGACACCTCCTTGGGTTTCTGAGGCAGTATCACTATGGAAGTAGATTGCCCCATCTTCCTTCTGAGGAGTGGCTGGTGGGTGTGAACCACCAGCCTTCTGGTTAGCAGTCAAGTGCCTTAGCCATTATACTACCAGAGCAATTAGTGTTTTTTTAATCCAATGGTTTATGAAATCTTGTGGCTACTATGCTCAAAATGTCTTTTAAATCTATCTTTGTATTCTGTCACTGCCCTGATTTGAGATACCACTGTCACTTACTATGACTATTTCAATCACTTCCTGATTCCCTTGCAGCTAGTCTCATCCTTCAAATCATCTTCCACACTGCCATCAGAGCTCATATGAAACACACAGAATTCTCTGCTTATAAACTTCCAATGGTTCCAACATCCCAGCATAACAGTCGAAGCTCTTTAAAGTATAACCCCAACCCCCTTTTCTGGCCTCATCTTCCCCCACACATCCTCTGCTCCAGCCACACTTCCTGTTACCCATAAACACCAGGCATTTTCTGCTTCCCTAAGCTGCTTGTCCCGGTCCTTCTGCTTGCAGTGTGCTTTCCTTCCTTCTCACTGAGATAAATCCTCTTCCATATTTGAAAATTTACCTTTTCTGACTCTTTCCTTGAGCAAATCCTATTCCTATATTTTTGGTCACTATGGCACTTTAACTGCTATATATCAATAAAAACAGCTAATAATAACATAGCTAAGAAATGGTAGAGTTGGGATAGGAATCCTGACAGACTAAGTCTGAGGTATTTATCATACTGACTGTACTGTACTTAGTAATACACAAGTCTTTTTCCAGATTAGATTAAGAACAATTTATTTTGAATCAAAATATTTCTCGGCAAAAAGACAACTAAAAAAATTTATACACTAAATTGGTAACTTTGTAATTGGTAATTGTGTTAGACAACTGAAACCAGAGACAGCAAGATCTTGTCAACACAGCAAAATCTCCTCATAAAGAACCTGGAACAGTGAAGAGCAGGGAATAGAGGCATTCATTCCTTTCTTAATCATTTCTCAAAGTCATTCATTCCTTTCTCCAAATCCTGGGCCTGTAACTAACTGGCAAGTTAAACAAGTTACTTAACCCTCTGGGTCTCCATTTTCTTACCTATAAAACGGGGATATTAACATGAGTTGCAGGTTGATTGCAAGGATTAAATAATACACATTAAATGCCACATTCAGAATAGGCATTTAATAACTCTTAGCTCTCATTCCTTTCTCTTAAGGTTGTCTTGTTGTACCACTCAGTCACCACTGAGTTTCTTTCTTACACCCCTGTCATTAGAGACCGTCAGAGGTGAACATCTCTAGTTTCTAGTTTGTTTCTGTGTCTTTAGAGGCTCTACATAGCTCACAGTACTTGGGTCTTTGGTCTTACCGTGTAAAATGTTTGCTCTCTTCATGAACCTCCATTTCTGAGCTTTTAAATTCATTTAATTCTTTTCTTATGGCAGCCTGTGGAGAAGAAACAAAAACATTGCACTGTCTTCTATTTGCTGTACTCTAGGAGTGTGATCTGTTGTAACTATTCTCTATTGTCCTTACACCTCAGCAGGCAACCCAGAAGGGAAGAAGCTAGGTTAACAAGAGTGAACTGAGCTCAACACACACTTACCTTTCCCAGTACCATTCAGGTCATAATAACTCTCAAATCACCAGTTAAATAAAAATCTTTGAAAAGCTGAATAGAATCTTCAAGCAAGATTGTAGCTTTCACGATTTCACAGCATATAAAATGTTTTACCTATCATAAAAGTAAACTGTTCATAATTACCAAAATATACCTTCCAACCCACTCCCAACCAAATATAACCACTGTTAACAGTTATGTTTCAGTTCTTTCCAGTTTTCATTTTTTGACCTCTTTGACTAGTATAGATTTTCTTTTCTTTCAATTACATTTTGGTATATTGTATCCTAATTTGAAATTGAACATTACATCAAAACTAGAAGCTTTGTTTATGGTTCCCCTTTCTAGTTACTAGGAGCTCTGATGGCCTAGTGCCTAAGGCATTTGACTGCTAACCATAAAGCTGGTGGTTCAAACCTACTAGCCACTCCTCGGAAGGAAGGTTGGGCAATCTACTTCAGTAGAGAGACTGCCTCAGAAACACAAGGAGGGGTCGCTATGAGTTGGATCCGACTCGACAGCAGTGAGTTTTTTTTTTTTTTTTTTTTTCAGTTAGTTTGTTAACCCACTTCTGTCGATTCTAACTCATAGTGACCCTACATGACAGAGTACTGCCTCAGAGGCTTTTCAAGGCTGTAATCTTTTTTTTTTTTAAATTGTGATTTGGGTGAAGGTTTACAGAGCAAATTCACTTTCCATACAGTGGTTCACATATACTTTGTCTCATGACATTGACCACAGTTTACCACAATGCAACAGCTCCCCTCACACTTCCTCCCCGTAGTTACCTCTTCCCTGTGTCCATCACTCCATGCACTCCTGCCCCCTAAGCTGTCTCCCTGTGCATAAGCAGCCCTTCTTTCTCCCATGATTGTTCTCTCCAAAGAGTGTATCTACTCGAGGTAAATGTTCAACTCATATGCCTGTCTTTTGTTTGGCTGGAAACCACAGGTGTGGGTTCAATTCCAGATCTGAAGGGCAGCTAGGGGCCATAGTCTCAGTGGTTCCACCAGGCTCTATCAGACCAGCAAACCTGGTCCCCGCCCCCCACTTTTTTTTTTTTTTTCCTCCAAATGATTTTGAGTTTTGTTCCACATTGTTATCCCTCTCTATCCAGGATCTCCTACATAGATAGATGCATGACCAAGCCATGACCACAACCTTGCCCCTTGTCAGCTCTACTATACACCTGGGAATTCTGATCATTCACATAAACTTATAGGATCATTTTCTGCCAACCCTATATATGTTCTTGGATATACTCTCCATTTCATAGACATACCTAATTGTTCAGCCTGTCCACCCATATATCCACCCATATAGCCATGTTAGCCTTCACTGACAACGCAGTACTGTACGTACAAAAGGGTTTATATTTGTTGTCTGTACCTGCCATGTACCTCTCTCTGTCTTTCTCATCCTCAGTGCTGCCATATTGGTCACTCACATTTGGTACATTGCTCTTCTCTTCACCCAAATCAATACTTATCTCTATCTATCTAACAGCGTTCCCTTCCCTCCCCTCCTACTCCTGGTAACCAACAAAGAAAATTTCCTTTTATAGATAAATCTTTCCTTAACTTTTACAGTAATGGACTAATACAGTATTTGTCCAAGGCTGTAATCTTTACAGAAGCAAACTGCTACATCTTTTCTTGCAGAGTGGCTGGTGGGTTTGAACCACTGACCTTTTGGTTAGCAGCCGAGTGCTTAAATCCCTGCGCCACCAGGACTCCTAGTTAGTGTCTTGCTTGTTCAAATAAAGAAACATTTTAAAAAGCAAGCTTTCTGGGGAGTGAGTAGTTGGGCCTGTGGGTTTGGGATAATGGTTGCAGGGTATATAAAGTTCAACTGGCATGACACACTACACAAAAACATTAATCTACATCCTACTTTGGTGAGCAGTGACTGGGGTCTTAAAAGCTTGCAAGCGGCCATCTAGATGCAATGATGGGTCTTTCCTCGTCCAGAGCAAGGAAGAATGAAGAAAGCCAAAGACACATAGAAACCAGTCCAAGGGACTAGTAGACCATGTGATCCTCAGCCTATATGACCATGAAACCAGAAGAACTAGACGTTGCCCAGCTACCACTGTCGACCACTCAGAGGAGGATTGGTGCAGGAGATCCTGGATAGAGTGGGAGAACACTGTGGAACAAAACTCAAAATTATATATATAAAAAAAAAAAGAGACCAGGTTTCCTGGTTTGTTAGAGCCTATGGCCCTTAGTTACCCTTCAGGTCTGGAACTAAACTCCCTCCCTCCTGTGGCTTCCAGCCAAATAACAGGCAAACTGGCTGAACATTTACATTGTGTAGATACACTACTTGGAGCGATCAATCACGGGAGAACAGAAGGGCAGTGTTTGCACAGGGAGACAAGTCAGGGGGTGGGAGTGCATGGGAGGGAAGGACACAGGGAAGAGGTAACTATGGGGAGGAAGCAGGAAGAGAGCTGTTACAATGTGAGGAATTGTAGTCAATGTCATGAGACAAAATGTGTATGAACTGCTGAACAGAAAATGAATTTGCTCTGTAAACTTTCACACAAATCCCGATAAAAATTAAAACAAAACTAAACTAAAACAACACACCAAGCTTTCTGGTTACCTTGTCAGCAGGGGTCAGTTTGGTCCAAGGTTTGTCAGCTCGTCGGTCATAATCTTGAGCATCTGTTACCTCAACATACTCATTAAACCTCAGAATTTTCCTGGCCAGTAGTTCAGCTACAGTTGGCCTTTGACTGAGCTGAAAGAAATGGAGCTTCTTAGTTTGCTGTGTTAGGAATTAGGCATCAATCATACATTCAAATTACCTCTAACTCAGTGCTCCAACCTTCACTGGGGAGCTTTGAGTAACACTGATGCCTGGCTCTCATCTCCAGAAAGTCTGATTTAATAATTCTAGACACAGGAGTTTTTAAAAAGCTCCTCAGTACACAGCTAAGATGAGAGTAACTGCTCTAACTCAATGCTTCTCAAAATTTAACATGCACTGTTAAATATTGTTGAAATGTAGATTCTGATTAAGTGGTCTAGGGTAAGGCCTGCGATTCTGTGAACATTTTGGGTAGCAATGCTTTTATTCTTTATGGGAAGGGTTTAGGCTATAAATATATATAAAATGTATCAGAAAAATGAATGCATTTAAAATGAAAGTAACATCTACTAGTGGTTAATATTAAGGGTAAATTTCCTTTTGATGTGAATAATGTCCAAGGTAGCATATTCTGTAAATTTGTAATTTGAGGTTGCAAAATTGGGTAATCTGCTCAGTCTGCAGGCATGAACTCCATCCAGGGCTTTTAACTATCCTCAATTCAGTGATACTTACTCTGTCTTAGGGAAGGGGAGAAGTGAGAGAAATCAGGAAGGGAATGCTTAGATCCTTGGCTCTCCTGGGGATTGTTATTAGCTCTAAAGAATTCGGACCAAACCAGAATCCATGAAGGCAATTATGACTTGTTATAGTAGGGAGAGCAAGGGATTAACCCCCAGGCTGAAAATCTAACACAGTCTTGGAATTAAAAAGATTCTTTCCAATTGATTTAGACCATAGAGAAATCATAGTTGATTTTTTTTTTTTTTACTTCTCAGGTATTACTGAAGATCAGTTCAATTTAGTTCTTCCTCTGATTAGAAAATAACCATTTGCTTTGCAAAATGAATGCCACACATTCCTCTCATTGTCTATACTTGAACAGGCTATTATTAGAGTCTACATCAAAATCCCAGGTCTGCCAAAGGAAAGGAAAAATGTATCTAGTCAAATATGTATCAAGCACCCTTTTTAAACAATATAAATGGGCAAAAAAAAAAAAAAAAAACCCAAATAGTTGCTCTTCATACTGTGTTTTCTCTATTTGCATACTGTTCAGTTTTGTTCTAATCAAGTAAGTCATCCAAATACACAACATATAGTCATCAATAGACAGACTGAAACCAAACACATAGGCAGCAGTACCTTCCTAGTGAGACGACGTTTAATTTCTCGTTTTTCTGCTTGACGATCAGCTTCATTTTTAGCTACAGTTTAGAGTAAGAAACAAAAAATTATTACTTCAAAATGAAATTCTGCACATCACACCTTTTTGTAACTACACCTGAGACAGTTCTTACAGGTTCCAAATCAGAATGCTAACTTTGGGAATGGCGAACAAAGACAATTCTCATGCCAACTAGTCAAGTCACACATTCAAGAGCAGAGTCAGCAGACTATGAGGCCAAATCTTGTCAACTGTCAGTACTTTTAACTGCCCACACGCTAAGAATGGTTTGAACAGATTTAAATGGCTCTCCACTTTAAAATGGCTTTATAAGAGTCTCAAATTTATTTCTTGGCCTGCAAAGCTGAAAATATTTACTACCTGTTCTTTAAGAAAAAGTTTACAGACCCTTGCTCAAGAGTAACTACTAAGAATGGAGAATGGGGATCACACCAAGTTTCATGTGGTAAGTCTACAAAGGCCATCACACTTTAAAATCTACTAACTGACTAAGTTGTGTATATCCCAACAGTTGAGAAAACAGGGCCTAGGACTGGTCAGAGGCTGAGCACGTTCACAAGTAACCTTTGGGAAGACTACACTTCTTTGTTGAGGAGGTTTTTAAGGTAAATTTTCATGCTATAACCTGGAAAAATAAAACAAATCTGTGCTAAGTCAAAACACCTTATCAAAAAGTAGTATGTACACAGAAAGCAAATTGTGACTTTAGAAATACCAAAAGTTAGGACATGTCTTAAGACTTGGGATTTGCTCTGGACCTTAGTCCTCAGATTCCAGGAACACTAAAGCTGCTATTTTACTTCCCTGAAGACAGAGAAAATTTGGGCCACACCTACTGCACACTGTCAAGTCCTCCCAAAGGCAGCCCTGGGATACTGTGAGAACTTTAAAACAAAATCCTGTGAGGAGTCTCTCAGTTTACTGAAATACCTCAATGATACCTTCCAAAGGAAGCTCAGGGGAATTATTTTTCTTCATGGAAAAATTTACTAATACTCCTTTTTGGCTGGAATCGCTCTGTTTGGCCCTTGTAGTAAGCAGTTCTCTTCTTTGTGAAGCACATTAAAGTCAGAAATGTGCAAAAAAAATGTATCCAACTTTATTTCCATAGCTGGACTTACGTTGCAGTATATTGCGTTGTTCTAGTTCTTCTGGGGTTGGTCTTTGACTCAGTCGACTAGAAAGGAGACAAAGATGAATTACTGTCTGTGTTAAACCTCCCAATCCTGTTTATAAAGATTTTTTTTAATCCTCTATATTAGTAAGAAATCAATGAATTTTCAAACTTGTTTGATATTTCACTTGTTTATCTGATTCATTTTTTATGAAACAATGTTCACAATGAAAATGCTAACAAAAGTATCACAAGATAAAAAATAACTGTATAAATAATATCAGAAAAAAAATTATACAGGTAAACAGAAAGGATGCTAGTTCTAGATCTGACACCAACTAGTCATATCATGACCAAAAGAAAACCTATTAGATTCTTTTCACTCTCATCTGTAAAATGAGGGGTTTAGAGTTCAGACTTCTGGTAAGATGGAGGAATAGGCAGACAGGTGACACAGACCCTCTTCAACAAAGAAAAGAAAAACCAACTGACAAAGATACAGAAGATAATCCTGGAACCCTGAGCTTTGAAAGGAACTATACGGAAGTGAATTAGACACCAACTAGTAGAAAAACCTGAATGAAAACAGAGATGGTTGGAGCTGCGGACTGTCAGCTACTCTGACGAGACCAACAGCCTAAATATTTCCAAGTGGTGCTGGGACCTGAGAATTGACCTAAAGATCAGTCCCAGTCACCAAGGGCTGCAGGGACAACTGCTCTGGTGGCCTATG